ACCTGTACGGTTTCGTTATACCAAAGAATACCGATATAGGAAAATACCGATTAACGTGATTAATATTAATTAACATGTTTTAACTAACGGCCTGTAGAATAAGACGATGGTTAGCCATCGTAACGGCAGCGCCGAGGCGACCCTACGCCGCGGGTTTGGCGTCGCCGTTTTTCTCATCTCTCCTTATTTATGAGAAAAATCATAACTTTTTTTAAAACTGAGGTAAAAATTTTATTTTTTGCCAAAATATAGATTGGAGTGTTGTCTAAGATTTAGCAAAAAATTAAAAATTTTGACCGATTTATTTAAAAGTTATGATTTTTCTAGCCAGGTACTACTTTTTCTTAAAAAATCACTGAAAAATGAGGTACTTTTTTAAAAAATTCTCATAAATTAAGTTTTAAAGGGAAAATTCCAAAAATTATGTCAAAAAATAGAGGACACTTCAAACTATATAAAAATATAAAATTTATTATTTTTACATCAAAATTCGATTTTTAATGATTTTTTAAAAAATCTTCTACCCTGCCCCTTAGCAGGGTAGAAGAAAAGAAGAGGAAAACTACCGTATACTTTTCCTCTTTCTTTTCTTTTCTTTTCTTTTCTGTTTTTTCGGCGCAGCCACTTCTCTCTTCTTTTTAAATTATGGGAGAAAAGTTGGGCCTGGTTGATCCCAGCAACCACGCTCTTATTCTACCGGCCCAGAGGTCCACAAACCACCACCTTTCCGCAAAGCGAATCCGCATTTTTCATTACGTTTATTGCATTTTCGGTGTGAAAATAAAAGTGAAAATCAAATAAAAAACAAAAAAATCAAAGACAACAATTATCTAAAAGTATTGGAAATAAATTCTGTATCATTTGTCTGTTAGGAATCTCTCTGATCTATCTTTAAAAATATATTTGTAAATGTTATCGCAACTTTATGTTTACAATTAATTTAAAGCAGAATTATAATAACAAACAAATATTTTAAAACAAATATTTAGGCATTCTCTTATGACAGATTTTGACATATTTCTCATTAAAACCTTTCTAATTAATCAAAAGATTTCTTCTTTTTCTAGCGCGGCAAAAATTTTAGAATTTCATATATATAACAAATGCCATAAAATTGCGTTTCCTAACCTCACCCTGGGCCCGTATCATAAGAACTCGGTTGCTGGTTAGGTAACCAACCACCAACCGGCGGTTTTAACCGGTATCATAAGGTTAACCATGACATTGTGGTTAGGTGACCTGGTTACCTAACCATCAACCGGCGGTTAAAATCAACCAGTATCATAAGACGGTGGTTGCTGGTTAGGTAACCATAACTTCGTCGTCAAAAAAGCTACCATGGTCGATAGCAGGGTTGCAAAAATAACCATGGGCTTTTAAATTTTATTAAAAATTTTAAAATTAAAAAAATTCAGAAATAAAATTTTTCTGATATTTTAAACAATTCTCGGCTAAACTACAGTTTCCGTACCAGGCTCAGAATTGAACGATTTATATGTCATTCGAAAGAGCTCGTCGAGCTGAGTCGAATGACACCAAAATTTTTCAGCGGAAAAAATTCTGAGCCGAGTTACAGACCACTAAATTTCAAAAAACCATAGGGGGGACCAAGCTGTTTTCTGGGGGTGAAAAATTCGAATATGCAAATTATACCTCATTCGAAAGAGCTTATCGAGCTGAGTCGAATGACACCAAAATCAATGAAATCAGACTTGATTTGACAAAGTTATGCTCGTTTGTTTTAGCTCCTTACCTTTGTTCTCCGTGGATGTTCTTGCTGCTGCGGAGGAAGCTGGGCATGCCCATCACAGCGATAATTGGAATAGGATTAAGTTACGAGCCCAGACCCAGAGCCCGTAGACTCCCCGCGAGGCGCGTGCCGCAAAACTCCGCGCGAAGCGCGGAGTTTTGCACAAGCGCCTCGCCGACGCCCCATAGGTTTACGTTGTTTGTTTTTTCTGTCATAACTTTGAACAAACTTGACCAATCACGGCGATTTTGGTGTCATTCGACTCGGCTTGAAGAGCTCTTTCAAATGAGCTATTAATTGCATATTCGAATTTTTCACCCCAAAAATCAGCTTGGTCCCCCCTATGGTTTTTCGATTTTCGGGGGCCTGTAACTCGGCTCAGAATTTTTTCCGCTGAATAATTTTGGTGTCGTTCGACTCAGCTCTACGAGCTCTTTCGAGTGACATATAAATCGTCCAATTCTGAACCTGGTACGGAAACTGTAGTTAGGCCCAATTCTCTATTGAAAAATATAGATTTTGTGAATTTTGACCGTGAAAAAAATTTTCTTTGAATTTTTAAAAAAAGGCACCCTAAAACCGAGCAATTAATTCGTGTAAAAATCATCTTAATTAGGAAGTTCTTCATAAAAAATTATAAAATCAGGACAAAATTAAGGCTAAAAATTTTCTAATATTTTAAACAATTCTCTATTAAATGATATAAATTTTGAAATTTTTAACAAAGTAAAAAATTTGGCTCTATCTGAAAGGAGTGCATGGTTGACTTTTTTCCTTCCTTTTTTAGAATGGCCTTTTTTCCTTTCCTATTTTTTCTAACTTTTTAAGATCGGGTGTGAAGGGCAAAACAAGGAATTCCAAAATACTGAACAGACAAAAATACTGAACAGACTGGTCCGTGGTTTGATTGGCCTGAATTTTGGTCATTCCGTATGTTTGTGTTGTGTATGGGCGTTAGCTCTTAAAGTGTTTAGTATAAAAGCCAGTGAAATCGTCAGTCTAGTCGGATCATACTAGCGGGGCTAGTCACTGATCTCCTTCGTCTGTCCCATTCCCTTCGCCTACATATTGTACATTTCTGCATGTGATAAAGTGTTATTGTTGTGCTTGTCAACTTTAGTTAAATCTCGGACACCTCGGGTCGTAACAAATATATATCGACCAGTTTCGTCTACATCGAAAAAGGAAAATTCGGCAACAGCTACATAAAGAAAAATAGCCCTGATTAGTAAAGTAAAAACATGGTGGGAAAACCATGAGTGTAATGTAAAGAACAGTGTTGATATTCTCCATGTGAGTATGAGTGTGAAACCTAAATGGTTAACAAAAAAAGTGTTAGTGAACGGAAACGAAGTGGAATTCATTTTGGATTCAGGGGCTCAAATCAGTTGTATAAGTGAAGTGACATGGAAGAATATTGGTAGCCAAAGCTCACTGGAGTGCCCTGCAAGGGTAGAAGTTTCACAGGAAACGAGTTTAGTATGTTGGGCAGTTTTATGGCGAGTGTCGATGTAGACGATAGTAAACAAATATTGGTGACACATGTCACAAGTGAAAAATTGAATTTGTTTGGCCTACCATGGATAATTGAAGTTGAGAATAAATTGGGATACCCAATAGTGTCTAGTATTAAAAAGAGTGAAGAACCGATTAAAGTGTTAGAAATTGAAAAGACACAAAGTAAAATTAGTGAAATAGTAAACAAATTGTCAGTGCAGTTTAAAAAGTGTTTGAGCCAGGCTTAGGCCATTGTACAAAAATGAAGGCTCATTTGTATATGAAGCCAGGATGAGTCCAGTATTTGTACGGGCTAGACCAGTACCTATTGGCGTTAAAGACGCAATTGAAAAAGAGTTAAACAGATTGAATGAAATTGGAGCTAATAAGCCAATTGAATTTGCTAACTGGGCAGCGCCCATTTTAGCTATTAAAAAGGCAAATGGCAAAACAAGAGTGTGTATGGATTGTTCAACTGGGTTGAATAATGCAATTGAATTGGATAGGCACCCTTTGCCAAAGCCTAGTGAAATATGGGCTGAGATCCATGGAAGTAAAGTGTTTTCACAATTGGATCTCAGAGATGTCTATTTACAAATTGAGTTAGACGAGCAATCTAAAAAAGTGGCGTGTATTAATACACACAAAGGATTGTTTGAAGTGCAAAGATTGCCGTTTGGAGTGAAATCAGCACCAGGAATATTTCAGAGATTGATGCATAAATTGATAAGTGGAATTCCTGGAGTGTTTGCATATTTAGATGATTTAATAATAGTGTCTAAAAATATTGAAGATCATAAAGTGCAATTGTTTGAAATATTTGATCGAATTGAAAAGTGGAGATTAAAAATCCAGTTAGAAAAGTGTAATTTCTTTAAAGAAAAATTGAAGTTCTTAGGCCATATTGTACCCAAAAGTGGAATTGAGCCCGACCCGAAAAAGAAAAAGAAAATTAGTGAATTGACACGTCCAAGAGATGTTAAAGAATTGAAATCTTTTATGGGTACAATTAATTATTATGGGCGATTTGTTAGAAAGGAAGAAAATTGTATCCTTGGTTCACTTAAATCCCAAAATTTTGGTGGTTGTATGGTAATTCGAAGGATTTGGATGGATTAAGGTGGATTTTGAGTTACATTATGTGAGTTCAAGGCGCTATAGGTAATATAGAGGGATTTGGGTGTAATGTCCAGGGAATGAGCTGTGCAAGGTAGATATCAGGGATCGAATAGCTGGGGATTTGGTCTTCCAAAACTTGGAATTTTTCACTTGGCCTTCCTAAATTCGCAAAATTTTCACCTACGGCGCTATAAAAGAGAGGAAAAATATGATATAATAATAAAATTTGCATGGATTAATGGAGATTTGTTGTGATATTTGGGGGATTACGATGTATCTTTAGTTATAATGGTATATCGGTGATTTGTTATCTAGGGATCTGGTGGGATTACGGATAATTCGAAGAAATTCGGTGATCAAAGGATAACTAAATTGGTGGGGATTTGGGTAATTCGGTTCGGTTCTTAGGTTTCGGTTCGGTTCTTAATTCGGTTCGGTTAAAAATTTTTTAAAATTTGCTAGCAAAATTTTATTAAAAGTTCCGGTTCCGTTTCCGGTTCCGGGCCGGAACTTTGAAAAGTTCCGGTTCCGGTTCCGGGAACAGGAACTTAAATTGGATCCGGTTCCGGTACCGGTTCCGGTCAAAATTTCGGTTCCGCTGAAACACTACCCCATATCATCCACAATCCAATGGGCAAGTGGAAAGATTTGTGGATTATTTTAAAAGAATGATGACAAAAAATTGTAATAAGAAGAATTGGCTCAATGAAGTGTTATTGTTTTATAGAGCCAGTCCTCATGAATCATTGGAAGGGAAATCTCCTAGTGAAGTGTTTCTTGGAAGAAAATTGCGATTGAATTTAGCGAAGTTAATACCAAAAAAATGACCTTCCATGAAAATAAAGTGATAACACCTCGACAAGTGAAAATGAAAACTTGGTTCGACAAACACCATGGAGTAAAAAACCGAAAAATCGTTAAGTTAGTGTATTTCTTAAATTACCGAAAAGATGTTAAAATTAATTGGTTGAATGGTGAAGTGGAAAGTAAAAGGGGGGTTATCTATAAGATATACTCGCCAGTGTTAAATGCCGTAGTAACTCGGCACGAAAATCAAATTAGAAATAGAAGTTTAAGTGAAGATTGTAATAATTTGTGGAAAAGTTAAAGTGTAAGTGATAGTGGATTGAAAAAAGTTGATAAACCACATAAATATGGTTTGAGAGAAAGTATTAGACAGACTCAAAAATTAGTACTGACTAAGGAAAGTGTAAAAAAGTATGCTGAAGAGGCTATAAATTATCCAGTGAAAATAGTGAGACAAGTGGGAACAAGCCAGGGATGAAAAATGTTGAAGACGATAATAATATGGAGACGTGATGTGCCAGATGATATATAAATATAAATGTGATAATAGTGTTGTTGTATTTTTTGTAATGTTGTATTTATTTTTTGTTCCCATTGTCCTTATCCCCCAAAATTGTGTATGTATTTTTTTGTTTGTTGTTTGGCTGGAAAGTGTTAGTATATTGTAAAGCTTCGGCTTTAAGTGAAGCCGAACCTTTTTTTTCAAGGGGGGAGGTGTTGTGTATGGGCGTCAGCCCTTAAAGTGTTTAGTATAAAAGGACAGCCAATAGTTAGTCTCGGTCTCAGTTTTAGTTCTTCCTACAACCTTCGTCTGCTTTGTATTTCTTTGTGTGATAAACGTTTCTGTTAGCTTCCTCTTCGTAAGCGGGGTCGTAACACAAGGACACCACGTGCTGAAAAAAGAATATGTCAAAGTGTATGAAATATTTATTTTCAAAGATTATTTTGGGATATTTTATAAAAATGTAAAACACATCCTATTCTATCAAAAAATATCTAATATATAATTTTCAGCATGTTTGGATCCTTTAAAAATTCGAGGAAATAATTTTCGTCTAAAAATGACTATCTTCTTACTAAAAATTTAACTTACTAAAAACAATAAAATAATTTTTTCATGGTGAAAACCTATGAAATTTATAAGACATTTTGAAGAAGTGATTGGTATATCTAATAAGTTTTATTTCTTTCTTTTATCTCTATCTAAAATTTTTAATAAATTTTTTTCGTCGTCAAAAAATTTTTCCATAAAAATAACTAATATACGGGTAGAAATTTAAAAAATCTAAAATTTTTTTCAGGGTGAATGTTTATAAAATTTATAAATTTTGTAGAAAATGGTTTAAAATATTGAAAAATTTTTATTTCAGAATTTAATTGTAATTTTAAAATTTTTTAAGAAATTTTAAGTTCACTTTTTAGCCTTATTACAGTAAAACAAAAGTAATAAAAAAAGGGTATAAATATTTCTGGATATATTTAAAATATATTAAATTAGTCATTTAAATATTTTAAAATTAAATGAAAAAAATAAAAATATAAATTAAATAAAAATTTAATTTTTATAACGGTATCATAAGAACGTGGTTGGTTGTTTGGTAACCTTACGACGGTGGTTAACCACGTGGTTTTCTTATGATACAGGTTTACGACTACCTTGTGGTTACCTAACCATGGTTAGGTGACGATGGTCCATCGTCAGGTGACCGAGTTCTTATGATACGGGCCCTGGTTGTAGGTTAGGAAACGATATATAAGCCTTTAACGAATAATTAAATAACTTTTAAGCTGTATTTGGTTGCGGGCAATGTACTAATTTTAAGGAAGATTGTATAACTTTTCCTTCGTGTGTATTTCGTATAAAAGACAAGAATTGTAAGACATTACGAACAGTAACTGAAGAAAACTTTTTACAATGTTACGCCAAAAGAGGTATTAGAAATCAGTAAATACAATTTTCGAAAATTTGAAGATTCTAATAACAAGAAGGATACCGAAGGCGTTACAGAACTATGCAGATCAAACAATCGGATGTGCTTCCTTACAATTAACGATGAAGAAGGTTTTAAACTTATATGTAATATTCCATTCATTGTGAGCTGAGCTTTGTACTAAAAATTTATCATTTTTTTGAACGTTAAAGCTGAATTCAAATCAATATAAAGATAAAAAGATCTCAATAAACAAAATTAAGATCTTGAGGGTTATACAGCATAGAAGGCAGAGATATCGATGTAGTGGAACTCTTTTCATGAGTGAATCCCGCAGTGTATATTTAGGAAACAAGTGAGTGGAACGCTCAGCCTTGTCCTTTTGAGCTAGTGATTAATCTAAACCTAGATTATGGACGTCGTATCGTTCTCTGGGAGTATCTTTTGTGGTATTCTTTACTTCTCCATTAGTACCTACTCTACTTAGTGAGCTAATTTCTCTCCAATGTTTTTAGGATGATCCCGGCCATCATTTAAATTTTTCTAAATGTTTAGGAATTAATTATATTACATTTTAAACATAACTCTTGAAGTTTATCTTTAGACTTTATGGACTTTAACTTTTGGGGTGGATGCGGCAAGTGTCCAATGGATAAACATTGCTTAGAATGCAATGCTAATTTTTGTAATAATCTTGCTGGATACAAATTAAGGCATTACTGTTATGAGAGGGAAAATGGGAAACAGCGATATGGAAGGCAAGAATGTATATCTACTAAAAGCTGCTACATTTCTGTTGATTATACAAGAAGTTTTTGATTTTAATTTTTCTTAATTCGTGTTTATAAAGTATGTAATTTGAACGCAACTGAGAATAATTAATTTTTAAAATATGGACTAAATTTTAAGTAAATTGGTCAAATTATCGGCGCTACTCAGCACTGGTAAATAGACTCTTTCAATAGGCATTTTTAAAACTAGTACATTGAATCGGTTTAGAAGGGAATAAAAGGTTGTAGATACAGAAAAATTTCAGGAAACCTACATTGTGCTTTATTTATTATAATTATTAGAATAAAAATAAATCAGGCTCAATTTATAAATATACACAGTAGGTAGAGACGAGAAAACAAACTTCGAAAGGTATATTTCGCAAGGATGTGGTGAATGTCCAAAAAATATTAAAATTCCATGTCACGTATGTGAGGGCAAATTTTGCAACGATGACAAAATACTTGTAACCTTTCATTTTTGTTGGAATGATGATGGCAATTACATTGAATGTAAAACTATAAATTCGAATTTGGCTTGTTACTATGCGTTAGGCGGTAATAATAAAGGTATTTAAATTATATCTCAAATACAGTCAGACTCCTTTTTAAATACAACCTTATCTTATTCAAAACTGAATTGATATCGGAAAGCAATTCTTAAACTGAATGTTAACCAAAAGTAGACTAAAAACAGCAACCTATTACATGTTTTTATCGGGGGCAAAATTAGAAGATTTCAGCTCCATAATCATTTCAAATTTTCCCTGAAGCGCTAAAAAATATAGAAATATGGCTTAATGTCTACAAAAATTTTAATTTCGCCCGCATCGCTAAAATGAGGATATTCTATCTGAAATGAATATTTGCCATCATCCGATGGCAGGTCAAAAAAAATTTGGCCCTATATCCTGAGCCCGGATATATGTACTTTAATCTCCTGAACACTTTTCATATTATTAATCGATCCTACAAATAATTTTATCATATCTATCCCTAAACGGAAAGCAATTTTATTTAGTGCTACTTCAATATATACTAGGGGTTTTAATTTAAATATAAATTTTAAATTTTGCTTCTTGGTCTTACGTTACGATTTGCGTTCTTTGAAATACTTTTTACACCTAATACTGATCGGAGTTCGACTATAACTTAATTTTATTTATTACACTTAATTAAAATTTATGAATCTTGAAATATATGTATTCATGCAAATTATAATTAAAAATAGTTTATCGAGGCTGTGGCAATACAAGACCTGCTAATTTAAAAGATGTACCGTTAGTTATATGTGATAAACAAATATGCAATACAAAAGAATTATTTGACAATTCATTAATTTGTTTAAATAAAAGAAAAGATGATTCAGAAAATAATAAAGGAATAAATAAATGTGATCAAGAATGTTTTGTTTATAGACATGGGGATGGAAAACGTATGGAAATATTTTTAATAATTGAGAAATTCAAAAATAATTTTAGTAGAACAAGGTTGTGGTAAATGTCCATCCAACACAGAAAAAGTTTGCAAAATTTGTAAAACTAAATATTGTAATGAAGAAAAGATAGTCCCGGAATTATGCTGGGAAAATAACGGGAAAACATGTACAAAAGAACATGGGGCAAAATGTTTTACTGAGAGAATGCAAAATAATAAAAGTTCGAGATAATAAGTATTTACTTGATACACTCACTTATTTGAACTAGCCTAAACATAAATATTGACTGAGGGAGGATATTGAGCTCATTATTAATCAGACCTGGACATAGATACTGATTTTAGTATCCGTATCCGGATATTTACGGCGGATACAGACGGATATCCGCAGGCATTTTGGTATTATCTATATCCATATCCGTATCCATGACCAGGTCTGTTATTAATAGACAAACTTGATTCAGAAGAAATTATCTTTAATAATGGGATAGGCATGAGACGTGATATGTACAGAATTTTCAGGGATCCGTTATAACGTCACGGCTCTTTTTCAACTTGCGGGATTTTTGGGACTAATTATTCGGGATCTCATAACGTTTGATTGATCTAAGGTTGAAGATCTAATAAGATATATCTTAAGTAAACAAGGGTTGCGGTAAATGTGATTCTACTACGTGCAAAGACTGTACAGGAAACTTGTGCAATGCTGGGGATAAATTTACATATTATTGTTTGGATAATGATGGAAGAAGTTTAAAAGAATGTGAAAACCCAGAATGTTTTATTTCTAAAGGTGCACATAACTATTTTATCATTGGGAAAGAATTTATTGTTAAGATCATTGAAGGAAATTTACCTATCTTTACTCTAATCCTAGTCGTAACTAAACACTAACTAAAATCCAAAATTCAGATTCAAAAGGTGGATGCGGAACTTGTGATGAAAAGAAAATTGAAAAGTCATGCGTTGATTGTAAAGATTTAAAATGTAACTCGAAAGAATTGTTGGCTAAAACAGTTTTTTGTTATGAAAAACTGAAAAATGGAAATGTAAAAGAAGGGAAAAGGCCATGTTTGTTGAAGAAATGTTTTATATCTTATGACAATAAAATTGGTAATTTTAAATACAAAAGATTATCAAAGAATTAAGAACGAAACTTCTAATTCTTCAAAATAACAAACTTTTAGTTGAGCAAGGCTGTGGAGATACACCTAAAGAAATTAAGAATATTCAATTTGCTGTATGTGGAAAACTATTGTGCAATACAAAAGAATTATTTGACAAAACTTTATTTTGTTTGAATAAAAGTATAAGAGAGGAGAAATTCTTTAAGGGAATAAGACAATGTAATCAGGAATGTTATGTATTTAGAGATATGAAAGGAAATCGTATGTGATAAATGAAAGTTTAAAATGTTAAAATTAATATTAAGTGGAGCAAGGCTGTGGAAATTGCAAAGGAAAGGATTCTAATTATTGTTATGCTTGCAAAAAGAATTATTGCAACGAAGAAAAAAATGTTTATAAAAAATGTCGACTAGATAACGATAAACAATCTAATTATTGCGGTATTAAACATGGAGAAGATTGTTATTTTGAGATTAGAGAAAATAATAAAGGCAGGGATTTTAACGAAAATTTAAATTTTTTCAATTTTAATTTATATTCCAGCTGTAAGGGGCTGTGGTAAGTGTCCTAGTCCAGCCTGTGTAATCTGCAACACAAATATGTGCAACCTTAACTATGATTTTAAAACCATTTGTAGATCAAAGAATGGGAATCAGCAATGCAAAGAAACGAGTTGTTTCATTGCTCCAGTTGATGAAAGTGAAAAAGGTAAATTCACTAGGTAAATTCAATAATTTTCGAGTCGGGCCGACGGTCGAGGCATTTTTCGGGTTTGTTTTCAAAGTTTCAAAAGTTTACATCGGATATCGGAAATGTAGGCAAAAGAAATCAATGTTAGAATTAGAATCTGATCAGTCACCACAATAATTTAAGAAAGCCTAAATTAATGATAGATTAGAAATTATTTATCAAAATAGAAAGTGCTCAATGCCGTTAAGATAAGACATTTCTTCCTCTGAAAAAAGAGACTTAACATTGGCTCCAAATATGTATGTTTAGCTTCAATCAAGATAAATATAATAAATTTTAGTATTTGATTACGGCTGTGGCAAATGTGATATCTCGCACCCTGAAAATAAGTGTGTTGACTGTGATACTGGTCCATTGTGTAACACTGAGGAATTTATCAACAATTCAAAGTTTTGTTTATGGAAGACTGAAAATATGTCTAAACCTGTTGGCATGAAGAGAGTTTGTAAAGATTCATGTTTTGTATTGAGAGACAATAATGGAAAAGGTTTGAGAATGAAAATAAGGAAGACATTTGCGGATTTCCTCCACCCAAATACTTGGTATCAAGCTTAATCCCACGATATTTCTGTTAATACTATAAATACACTATTCCCTCTATATCCTTCCATTGGAAATGAATTAAAGAAGATATAAGGGGCTGAACCGATTGGACTGAAACGTGAGAACTTTTTGAACTGCTACGGGACATTGGGTAATGATGATCAGTTGGCATAATATTCGTATTCGTTAAACCCTAATAAGTATCAATGACCCAGTAGCCATATTTTGCTAAAGCCGAAGAGACTACCATTTCTGTACCTGATTGTCCACAAATGTATATGCGCAAATGTTTGTCTACCTCTCTCTTAACCAAATTTTTAGTTAAACAAGACTGTGGCAAATGTCCAGCTAATACTCCAGATTGCGTAGAATGTAACGCAAAATATTGCAATAAAGAAAGTCTTGTTCCAAAACAATGTTTGGGTAACAATGGGACTATATGTAAAACTTCCTTTGAAACTCCTTGTTTTGTGGAGAGAATACAGAATAATACAGGCATTAACTAAATAAATTTAAAATTTTTTTAAAAATATTATTAAAGAAAACAGAGGATGTGGAAAGTGTAATTCTTCATCATGTAGAGAATGTCAAGATAATCGGTGTAATAATTGGACTGATACTTATTATTGTAAAGGTGTTGAAGGAATTAATGGAGTTAAAGAATGCCGTAAAAATGACTGTTACATCTTAAAATTGAATAATAATAATAAAGGTAATATTAATTAAGCTATATTTCGGTGTCTATTAATTCATAATATAGGGGCTGATAATGTTGAAACAAATAGGCGAGGGATATTCTTACTTATGAAGGCGGAAAACTCAATCGAAAAGCTAATAAATATAAAAATTATAAATGTAAGTACTGTAAGAAGGAGGGAGATAAAGCAGGGAAGCATCTATAATGCTCAGAAGGTTCATGGGGTTCAAGATTTATTTAAAAAGGTGGTTAGCTCATTGCTATGTTGAGCACCTGAGCAAAGGCGCTTGTAAAATCTTCCAGGAAGGCGCAGGATCGATGCCGTCCGGATTAAACTTTTCTCGCTCTTACTATAAAGCTTTCATTTTTCAGTCAAGAATCTTAATGAATTCTATTACGACTGTGGAAAGTGTCCAGTTAACAACGAATTCTTTAAAAATACATCTAATGTGTCCCTTTCCAAAAGATTGGTTGAAACAAATTTAAGTGGAATTCAATGTGCAGAATGCAATAATGGTCCTTTGTGTAATACTGAAAAGTTTTTAGAGAAACAAATGTTTTGTTTTGAGAAGTCGGAGAATGACACAAACATAATTAAAGGGGCAAGAGTTTGTCGAGATAAATGTTTTGTTTCGAGGAATTTTACAACTGGGAATGGTAGGCAATTAATTTAAATTTATTCTCATATACCTTGAAACATCAACAACTCAATCTAGTGGATAACCCTCTATTTAAGGGACGTTTCCAATGTAGTTAGCCACTGGACGGAGAAAAAAAGCTGCCTAAATGATATCCCTAAGTTAAGCTATATCCCAAGTTATATCCCCAAGTTATAAGATTTGACTGTTGACGACCCAAGTTGACAACTTATAGTGAGGTCTGACCTTTTGAGAATTAAATTATTATTTTCTTAGTAACACAAAAATGTGGAAAGTGTTTAAAGGACGAGAAAATTGACTGTATTGCATGTAAAGAGCGTTATTGTAACACTGAAGACAAGGTTGCCAAGCTTTGTTGGACAAATAAAAATGAAAAGTGTAAAACCAAAAATCCTTGTTATATATTGAGAACATCAACAAATGAGGGTTTTAATTCAATTTAACTTTAAAATTTAAAAAAATTTTTAAAGTTAAAAAAGGATGTGGAAAGTGCCCTTTCCATACATGTGAAGAATGTAATGACCATCTTTGTAATAATCAAGATCCTTTCTATTGCTTTGGTTTTATGAATAGTTATAGTAATTGTAATAAATCTGACTGTTATATTGCTAAAATTGAAGAGAAGAATGGAGGTGTGTTTGTATACATACATGTTTCTCTTTAAACTAGGGTAACACTCCATCTCACAAACATTGTCCGAGCTGAACCAGAAGGCCATACCGGCAAACCACTATCTCTAGAAACTCAAAAATTTTCGTTTCCTATGCTAAAAAAGAGTTTTGCCATTTTCTCGATTCTAAAAGAAGAGGATTTCTGACTCTTGGTTTTTCCCCGACACTACCCATGCTGTCACTCAGATCCCGAAACCTCCGAACTCTAAGGGCAGGCTTTCTTCAATATAAACCTTAATATTTAGACGAGAAGATAGACCAATTCCACTATGATTGTGGAAAATGTCCATCAGGCATTCTCAATCTTTCTCCCTACATCAAAACTAAAGATACAACACTCCAAAACAAAATAAAGAAAATAAATATGAGTAATGTTCAATGCGCCCAATGTAACAATAAACCAGCTTGTAATGCAGATACATTTTTTGCAAGTCATTTGTTTTGTTGGGAAAAAGAATTAAACAAATGGACAGCAACGAAAGGAAAAAGAGTTTGTAAGAAAGGATTATGCTTTGTTGGGATTAATAAAGGAGAAAAGGGTAAATTAAAATTTTTGGTATTTGTCGGTTATCTGTGCCCCATTTTTAAGGTATAGTACAAGGTTGTGGCAAATGTTCTGGACAAAATAATCTGGATAAATGTTTTAATTGCTCAATTCCTCTCTGTAATGATGAAACAAAACTTTCTCAAATTAAGTGTTACCAACTTGCTACTAATCAACGGCCAAATGAGAGAAAAGCTAAGACATGCCATCCCTCTTATGACAGTTGTTACATTGCTAGGGACATCTTCTGGAGGAGTAGGAAAATTTTAAATAAATCATTCTTCTATAGAATTTTTCGGACTCTCTATTTTTTGTAGTAGAAAATTTAATTTTAAGCTGAGCAAAACTGTGGAGAATGCCCTTCCAAATTCAAAAATTGTATAAAATGTAACCACACTGATTTGTGCAATGAGGAATCTTTACTTCCCCTATCAACAACAACAACTGAAACAAAAACAGTTAGTCGGGTATCTTCCACAACCACCTCAGAATCGACTAAAAAGGAACCTACTACCTTTATTAAAGGCACAACACATCGTTTTTCTTCTAAATCATCTGCACACATAAATAAGAACGAAAATAATATGTTAGCTTTGACTCTATTAACTTTGTTTATTTGTTATAATTTATAATGAAATTTTTTAAAATAAAATTGATATTTTAAACTGGATATTAAATATGGATAAGTGTTAAATTCGCGGGTTCTATTGTTGTGTAACAATTTTGAGCGTACATCTCGTGGACCATCGTAATTATTATGGTTGAGCCAAACAAGTTAATCACTTATGGTTATGATTACGTTAATCTGGTGTTTTTGCGAAATAAAAGGTTACGGTATACGGGTCTCTAAAGAACGGCAAAACTTTATCTGGTGTTTTAACCGCTTGTTATTCCGGTTTATAAAATAATCCCAAAAGATAGCATTTTAGTGAAATTTTTGTACCTCTTGTACTTTGTTAATAAATTTTTTAGGAAAAAGGAAATAAATATTTATAATTTCTCCCATTTTTACTTCCGACGTTTTGTTGTTGAGCGGTTTAGTCGATTTGCTTCATTCACTTCCATAACTTTATGGTGTTAGGTTCGAATCAAGAAGTGGTAAATATATTAAATAAATTTTTTCAATAGTAATTGTTTTTAAAATTTTATTTTAATTTAAATTAGTAAATTGATTTTTTTGCTATTTTAACCTTGAGAAAAGTAATTAATATGTATTGAGACTAGGGTTGCCAAAATGGACCGACTCGGACCGAAAGATCGAGTCATGCCTCGATGTTTGGCCCGAAAAAGTCTCGTACCGGCCCGACTCGATAAATTTGGGCACGAAAAAGACTCGTAACGGCCCGACTCGATAAAATTAGGCCCGAAAGTGACTCGTACCGGCCCGACTCGATAAAAACAGGCCCAAAAAAAATTGTCTCGGAAAAAGTCGGCCCGACTCGAACGAGACTCGATAATATTTTTACCAGATTTGTGGACAAAAATGGGAGAAATCTGGCTCCTTGGCCTTCCAAAATTCGAAAAATTTTCGCCTGCGGCGCTGAAAAAGGAAGAAGTTTGGTCCTTAGCCTTCCGAATATCTCAAAATTTTTGCCTGCGGCGCTGAAATGAAGGATTTTTAGCTCCATACTTTGCTTCACATCTCGAACTTACTGGCTTTAATTGATAAGCTGGATTACTGGGAGTTATTGTATATATTCCGCGGGATCCCGTCATAATTTGAACATTTGAAACTCAATCAGTTTTGAGAGTCCACAATTTTCCGCAGTCCGCAATTTTAACTTTAAAATACGCAGTCGCAATCTTCGGTCCACAAGTCATTTATAGCGCCGCAGGCGAAAATGGTCGAAAAAAAACTTTTTCGACCATTCTTCTACTAATTTTTCCCCCTTTCCCCTATTTCGAGGGGGGGGGGGACTCTAGCAGCCCCACTGGACACGCCCTTGGATTAAGTGTACGAGGAATTTATTAAGTGTACGAGGATCAAGGATACGAGGAATTTTAGCATACAGCGGGATTTTATTAAGGGATTTGGTGATTAACGCACGATATCCCCGATATCCCTTCAAATCTCCTCATTCCTTCTAAATCCCATTACAATATATCACCTTAATCATCTGATATACGATCCTGAACCCCTTAATCAGCTGATCTCCTTTAATAAAACCAAATCTAGCAATAGCTCACCACAATCCTCCGATAATTTAAATCACCTTAATCCCTCAAATCCACTGATATCCATTTCAATTCTCTTCAGCCCTTCCTTTACCCTCCTGATCCATCGATATACCTTTTAATTCACAGATATCCCTCCAAATCCACTAATTATTTTTAAATAAATCTTAAAAGAAGACTCGAAAATGTCTCGGTGCCCGACTCGATAAAGTCAGGCCCGAAAGTGACTCGTACCGGCCCGACTCGATAACAAGCTCGAAAAAAACCGGCTCAAAAACCGGTTTAGGCTAACCAAAAACATTAACCAAAACAAGGGCCTGAAGACCGGAAACAAAAGACACTCTTCGAACTAATTAAGAAATGGATCAAACCAAAGACTGATAATTAGTGACGAATGGCCTGCTTACTTACAAATGGAGAAAAAACTGCCACAATATAAGTAGTAGCGTTTATTTGTGTTCGTTTTTATACTTTTTTTAAGGCATATGTTAATTCGGCATAAAAAGAAGACCGGAGGTGGATTTTCTAAAATTGTAAAATTAGATGACGGAACAGCGATAAATGTGAACACAAATAAATGTGAAGGGCTTTGGGCACATTTGAAACATAAGACAAAAAGAATTTATGGAACGAGCACAGCTAAAACTGATTCATATATGTTCGAAGCAATCTTTCGCCAAAATGCACGAGCAAAAGGGGAATCTATTTCATCAGCATTTTTAAAAAAATTAAAAGAAAAATATTGTCTTTAATTTACTCTTACGTATAAAAATTAATCCGTTTGCGTATTTAGCCTTACGGCACAAATCAAAAATAGAGAGAAAAATATAAAAAAATTAACCTTTTTTAGAAATAAGGAAAAATGTGATGCCGGCACTGTTTTCCGATAAAGCCGAATTTCCTATCCAATACAATTTATTTCATAATTTTTCACTTTTTTAAAATTTTTTAGATTCAAAGAATTCCCTCATCCATTCTTGACCACCTCCAATTTTATGAAGCTCCACCCACGATGAAAGTGTCCCATCGATCGGAAAAGATGGTAATCACTAGGTGCAAGATCAGGGCTATACGCTGGATGGGGAAAAAGTTCAATTGAATCCAATTCCCGAATTTTTTTCTTTGCACAAGCGACTCGCCGCCGTCCCATGGGTTTACGTTGTTTGTTTTTTTGACGTAACTTTGTCCAATCTTGTTTATTCACCTTCAATTTCGCAAATTTTTCACAAAGATTCCGTTCCTTTTAAGTTCTGTTTCCAATAGTAAAGTAAAAATTCGCGAAAATAGTATTTTTCCATATTTTTTCTAAAATCCATAAAAAATTTTTAAAATAGTGAAAAATTATAAAATAAATTGTATTTGATTGACAATTTTTTGCTGAATAAGATGAACTCAAGAAGTTTAATTTTATCAATTCCAAGGTAAGATATAGACGATTATCTGAGACAGCTTAAAAAACGAACAAACTAATGGAGAACCCTAGTATGTAGATCTTCTGTTTTCATAATTTTAAAAATAAATAGTTTTTATGAGTATAGTGTGAAATAGTTGCCGAGCAATTTTTCAGACCTAAAATCTAGATCTGACTCCAAATGTTCCTCTTATACCCACAGATATCACATCTAATTCATCTGAACCGCTTTAAATTTTGAAACAAATTAACGAAACTAGACGGAAATCATTTTATTTTTGAAACATTTTTTAAATTCTTTTCATTAAACCACATACTCGACCTGAATCCCGAACATATTTTTGCTCCTCCGATTAGAACTCCGCCCCGAAACAATTTGAAAACCATATATCCCGTCATACCCTCTCCCAAGCTTCGGGGCGCAACTCTATTTGGAGGAGTTGCACGCAGTATATATTATTTGCCAATGCGTGAGCCTGCATAGGCATATTTGAAAATAAAAAGCTATTTCAATCTTCTCGGACCTAAAGCTAATTTTAAAACCGAGTTTTGGAATTTTTCTTAAGTCCGGGTGTTATTTCCTAGGTAGCAGTCTTATCTAGCGATATAATATGCTTATACGAATATGTTTATCCGATTAAGGACAGGCCCTCGACGTCAACCCAGGTGCCGACCAAGAACGTTCTCTACTGACTGCTTTTATACTAGTCCCACACATACCTCCAAAATCCGGGTTTTCTCGTTTCGAGATGGCTTTTTATAACCGATTAGAAATTTGTTCTGTTTATGTGATTATCACTTTTATTGTATATTTTTTATAGAAGTTAGGAAATTTTATCCATGGCTTCTTACAATTTTCGCCTGCGCGCTAAATAAAGCAAGAATATTTTTTCATAGTTAATTATCTCCAACTCTACGTCTGAGTTCGCTAAACCGAAAATTTCGGTCGCCGCTAATTTTTAATTTCACGATATCCGTTCGAATTAATATTTCAAAAAATAATAACTCTCATTGAACTCTAACTGCGCTTAAAATTTAAAATTATACAAACCCAAAGTTCATAAGTTGGATATTTTCTTAATAAATGAAAAATCTCTTCAGTCACACCCTTCTTATCCAATTGGTTAAAAACATCATAAAAGTAAGAAGAAACCTTGAAAAAAGTTACAGTCTGACCCAAAATTAAAATTTCTCAAGCGTTTCGATGGAAAAGGTGTTAAGGGTAGAAAAAGTGTGGAAACATCGAAAATTCTAGATTATATTATTTCCTTTTTAATTGAATAATTTTATGGTATAATTTTCGTTCCCAGTACTTTGGTGCAACTATTATAAAAATTTTAAAATATAATATCAAAACAAACATGCCCATAGCCAAATACCGAAGGAACTTTTTTTCTAAATAACGTATCAGAAATCTCATGTTGTAATTGCCGGAATGTGTCTGTACCTCTTGAATATTTATTAAAATATTTTTAATATAAAGATCAAAAATTTTTAACCTAAATGCTAGAACAATTGCTGCATCAGTAAATGAAACTGCTATAAAAGCAGAACAATAAGGATCAGTAAATTGACATTTAACTACCCAATTTTTGATAAACTACAAATTAATTTCTTTTTTATTTATTGCTTAAAAATAATTACTTGAAAATCAGGATATATTTGTGTAAGACAAAAAATAATATTTTTGTCGGTACCATAAGCAGCAGCTGCTAACGGAAATATTTTAAA